CTCTTGCCCTTCCAGTATTCGTTCTGAACGAGGCCTACGTCGCTGGCGATCCCGTCATTCCAGTCTCCGTTCTACGATCTCGTGGAACCCTGTTGACCTGCCTTGGCACGACTGGCTTCATGATGGCCCGTTGGAGTATCCTCTTCTACACGCCCGTATATGCGCTTGCCGTTCGGGGTTGGGCTCCGGCTGTCGCTGGATCAATTCTCATTCCCACTAACGCCGGCTTTGCAACCGGTGGTCTTCTTGCTGGCGTCTTCCATATCAAACGCACGGGCAGCTTCTACCTTCATACCGTCGTTGCGATGGCACTGTTTCCAATCACTATGGCTGTCCTGGCTCTCATTTCTACACCAACAAGTCTGTGGGGGTTATATGTTGCTATGGTGTTCCTCAACGGACTCGTTACTGGCGCGGCAACGAACTACGCACTTGTCCATCTGCTCCATCTTACACTCCCGGAGGTGCACCCGATCGTCATTTCTCTCCTTGCTACGTTTCGCGGCTTTTCAGGCTCTTTCGGTTCGGCTATTGGCGGTGGCTACTTCGTTCGCGTACTGCACAAATCTTTGGATGAAGGTTTTGCGCAGGCTGGGTTGAAGAATCGCGCGGAACTCACCCGGAGACTATTAGGGAGTCCAGCACTTGTAGGTAAGCTGGAAGGCAAAGACAGAGTCGTTGCCGTCGGGGCATACGCGGATGCACTCAAGGCATTGTTCCTTTGTGCCGTAGGACTCTCCATCATCGTCGTGCTTGTACAGGCCGGTACAGGTTGGAAAGAGCCGGAAAGGAGTGAGGGTCAAAGAGCGGAAGAGGAGGTGGAAGTCGAAGACGGGATGCCTGCAGGTGCTTGAGCTCAATGTCCAGTACAGCTATCTTTTGTCTTTCTCTGTTGTGCATAGCCAGGTCAACACTCATCATTCTATGGTGCAAGGACTGCCTTTGAGCGCTAATGTTCTCTTTTCAATACTCACATATCCATCACTTTCTACGTCTACTGGACTTCACGAAGATCTCTCACCGTGAGATCTCCCGGCGCCCTGTCATTTCTTGCGCAGGTACCCGTCATGCATGCTAGCGTCATCATCGCGATCCTCTCACTGTTTCCATCGTCTTCCATTGTATCACTCGGCTCCTACCCGGTCTCGCTTCGTCTGTTTGTTGTCGTTGGTGCAGGGTCCACTGCCTCGCGCCTGCCTATATAAAATTTCCCACGCTCTCACCTCCGCTCCTGCGACCCCACCTCACCAGCGACGACGTGCGGGACCAATTGTACGATCAAGAGACAGTGACCTCATTTTCGACCGCCTGCGACGCATACTCTGCTTATACAAGGTAAGTTCCTCTCACCTCTGGCGTATTCACACGTCGGTCTCCAGGCCCAGTCAGCCTGCTCCGCAAATTTGCAAGTGCGCACACTCAGTTTTGAACGCGTCGCGCGCAGACCGCGAGCTCCAAGCTGCTTCCAGCCTGGATTCTTTAGGCGCTCGACCGACGTCTGTCGCGCTTCACTGCACTGCTGCCGTCTCTGGAGTGCAAAAAGCTAACGAACTGTGTCTAGTTCACCTCTCTCACATCCTCCACAGTCCTCATCATGGCTCGTGGTCCGGCTAACCTGTATTCGACCATGGTATCCAACCCATACCCCAAGGCCAAGGAGCATGTTGCTCGTATCTCCGTTTGCGAGCTCTGCGACCGCGAGATCCTCACAAAGGATTGGAATGGACACAAGAACTCCAAGAAGCACCGGGAGGCCGAAGCCAAAGAGCGCGAAGAGTTAGAGAAGGCCAAGAACCCAGCTGGTACTTTCGGCGGTGACGCTACAAGCTTCGGTGGTGGCAACGAGTTCAGCGGCACCAACGAGTTTGCTGACGCCAACAACGAGTTCGGCTCTGGTGGTGACACCTTCGGCGGCGCTACGACTACTGCCAATGACGGCTGGGGCTCTGCTGGCGGTTTCTCTACTGCAAACACTACCAGCTACAACAACAACGGCGGCGGCGGTGGCGGCGATCGGGCCTGCTTTGGCTGTGGTCAGACTGGCCATCAAAAGCGTGACTGCCCCTCTGGTGGAGGTGGCGGTGGCGGCGACCGTGCCTGCTTCGGCTGTGGTATGACGGGTCACCAGAAGCGCGATTGTCCTCAGGGCTCTGGTGGTCAAGCCTGCTTCAACTGCGGCGAGACTGGGTAAGTCGAACTCTTGTCGATCATTTTGGAGTGTCAAGCTAACATTTGTCAGACATCGCAAGACGGAGTGCACTCAGCCTCGTAAGCCCATGGCTGGTGGTCCTGGTCGCGCATGCCACAACTGCGGAGATGAGGGTCATATGTCGCGCGAGTGCGACAAGCCTCGTGTCATGAAGTGCCGTAACTGCGACGAGGAGGGTCATGCTTCTCGCGAGTGCCCCAAGCCTCGTGACTGGTCCCGCGTGAAGTGCCGCAACTGCAACAACTTCGGTCATGGCGAGAAGCGTTGCCCTGAGCCTCCTGCTGAGGCTGCTGGCGGTGACTGGGGCGATGCTGGTGGCTCGACCGCTGCGGCTGGCGGTTGGGGTGATACTCCGGTTGAGTCGAGCGGCAACTGGGCTGACGACACCACCGCAGCTGCCGATGCCAATACCTCTTCTGGCTGGTAGACCGAGTGAGCGAGCGTCTTTCCATTCGCCTGTTGGCACAATGAAATCTCAGCATTGCCCAACATACGCGATTCTTGTAAGGACGACTGACGGATTCAGACATCGATCGAGCCAATGGCTATCGGTAGGGAAGGCTACGAGTCTGATTTGAGCTCATGAACGATGGAGAAGTTTTGTTAGGGTAGTGGAGAGGCAGCCCACGGGTATGCACTTGCAGTTACGTTCCAAGCGAAGCGCAACCATGTACAGCAAGGTACTCTACATAGACCAAACAAACACGAACCCTTGTACGCATACTCACCCGCGCTCCATGCTAACACAGAACGGTATGCTACGTGACACTTGCCGCTTTTAGCTCTGCTGTATCTACGTTCTACTCTCGTCTACCGACCATACTACCTTGCTCAGTACATCGCGTGCCAGTCATAGAGACGACTTTCAGTCACAGATGATCAACACCCATTTGTCTTTGTCAAATAAGTAATAAAGGCGGCGGCCACGGTCGAAAGATACATAGTGATTGCCACAGATGTTTATCAGACTTCTCATTCGTGGGACAACATTTGAATGGATATAGGTATTGCGTAGGTGAATTCCCAGCGGAGTGAAGGGTACGGCCAATAGGGAGACTGGGCTTGTCGTTCCTTATTAGTACCCTTGGCAAGATTACATGTCTCTGCCCAGGGCCATTAAAAGGGCTTGGACGTTTGATTTAATTTACAGAAAGTACATACTTGAGGGGTGCATGGTAGACCCTTCACTCACCTCTGACGGCTTCCAGATATCCCGGTCTTCTTCGTCCGAGCACGCCCAAAAAGAAGACCGAAATCCTATTGCAGTTCGCAAACACTTACTTGATTAGTTAGACTATCGGGAGGCAAAACGAGTGAAGCGACCTAGGAGAACATACACTACACAATGTCTGTTCTGCATCGTGACATAGCCAAGGTGGAGTCGGAACGACAGCCATAACATGTGAAGGAACTTAGCGCAAACCAACGATGACGAAGGCTACCACTACGGGATGACATGGCTGCTGGGCATTATGAGGGTCCAGAGATAAGGGCGCGTCCCGAAGGTTTCCAAGGTTCCAAGGTTCTCTCTGTATCAGCCCTGGATGATAAGCCCGGGGCGTGCGGCATCCGGTCCTTTTCCCAACCCGAGATCCAAGCCTCTTGGAATCTCCGGACCTCGTCGCCGTAAGCTTACGCGCATAGCCTCGTTCAGATGCCACCATGGTATTTGGAAACCAGAGCCTTCATGGTGGTCGTTTTGGAGGCGCAAACATGTGGCTGAAGCGACTTCTGCATCTCATGAAGCAGCGGTCAAAACTCTCCAGCTGATCAAGACTTCTAGAGCCCAACGGTGTCTAGTAGTAGGGCTGTAGCGCAACGTCTCCGCACCATAGCGCGTGGAAGGCTCGCTACGGGGTGCTTGCTCGGCGCTACGGAGTTGTCTCCAGCTTCCCCTCGTCGGAACCGTTGAAGTAAGCTTTAGCGGTGACTCGTCCACTGATGCGCTAGCCCTTGACATATTGCCCTACGATCCGATAGATCGAGGATATACCGTGTTGTGATTGATTGACGTTGAGTGAGAAGTCTTGCCACGGCGTAATACGCAAATTAGTTTGAACACTTGATCAGAGCTCGCTTCGTGGACCTATATGTCGTGAGACCACTCCCCATGTCTCAACGGACACCTTGGCAGCGTTGATGCGATCTTCTACCTTTGCGATATTATTTGCTTTTGCGCAAATCTCCATCGCTGGTGTGGCTGCGCAGCCAATGTCTCCGCTTTTCCTTGTTACTCGGGACGAAAGCCACAAACATGTCAACCTGGACGAGCTGCCACCACATCGCGTTACAGTGATCATCATATGCATACTGTTTGCATTTGTTCTCGCGCTGGCCCAGGGTAAGTGCATTCGAATTTTATGTGGACCGTTTCGCATCCAGAGGTCGCTCAGAACTTCTGCTAACCGCTTCGTAGGGTATCGAGCAGGCCGCATGGCTGGCCAGAAGTCCAAAACTCGGGTGTCAGATGTACTTGTATTCGCACAAGGCTTCATCTGCTCGGCCTTTCTATTTGCCACAGCCATACAGGTAGCTGGATTGGGTCTGCAAACGGATGCTCAATGTCATGCTGCCATACGAGTCTGCATCGCCATGTATAGCGCGGACAAGATAGCACTGTAAGTGTTTACTCGTGCGTGACGCTCACCCAAAACCCGGATGCTGAACCACATACAGATATCTCTTCTTGCTAGAGCGCGTTCATATCGTACGAGCTCCCTTTGTGGATCGCACAAGGGATATGCTGTATGTCTTCGGAGGGATCTTTGTCACGGGTGGTTTCCTCGCGATCATGGGATGGCAGTTTGTCAACCCAATGGCCATCTTGAACCACCAGACAGGTGAATGCAGGATAGGCATCGAGCGGCCGGCTACGATTGCGATCATCGTGCTGGACATCCTAATGAACACTGTTCTCACGGGAATCTTCGTCTGGCAGCTTCGACCAGCACTGGGCTCATCGGCACCTAGGATATTCAGTTTCGCAAGCGACACTGCTGGTACATCAACTGGCTCTTCAATGCAGAGACTCCGACTTTGGATGAAAGGAACACGACGGGCCGTATCTTCTCGGAACAACTTGCGAGTCATGCTGGTTCGAAATGTTGTTGGCTCAGGCTTCATGTTGTTTGTCACTTTGTGCAACAATAGCCTGTTTCTCGCCTGGAACTTCGCCAAGATGAGCCACGCTTGTCTGCTTATGTGCCTCGCTGATAGTAAGTTCACGATTCGCCCCTTGTGGTCAACAAACGCTGATACATAGTTCAGTCTGTCTCGGTATGCTTGTCACCCAATGGCTGACGATGCGTTCGGCTGATCCGGAGATATCGCCGCCGGCATCTCGAGCTTCTTTCGTAGAGGAACGTACCGATTCCGAGGTTTCCTTTGTGAACGAGAAGCCTGTGCCCATCAGCCGCGTGCTAGACAAGGTACGCTTCAATCTCCGTTAAAGGCAACGACGCTGTCAAGAAGTTGTATTTTGCGACATGTGTCTTAGCAGTCTCGAGCTACTAAAGGACCGGAAGGATCCGTTTGCGGTGTACTCCATGGACTCATCACCGCCCTTCTTCGGTCTTGTTATATACCGACTTACACGCGATTGGCTGCGCTTGCCTTCATCCTATACCGCTGTCTAGCGCCTTCCTGCGTAGTTAACACGACGCCATCCCCGATCAGCGAGCGCCGAACAAAAAGGTGCTTTGGGCGACATTGAATTTCGTACGCCACACTCTGTTTGGTGCGGCCAAGCGCTGCGCGGCGTTGCATGGCTGCGGTTGTGCAGATATACCCCGATCGTCAGCAGAAGAGGCTAGGAAGCGCCATAGGAATGTTCATGGATCATCTTTGAAGCAGGTCGGTTTGAGATGAGACAGCAGTCGGATTCCATCGTGCAAGCTCATGACGTCAGCCGGCGAAATCAGGGTCTTACCCGACGAAGACTAGCGTTAGGCTAGTGCAAACATTGAAAAGAACTGCCCAGGTATGCACAACCTCCGCACATGCATTGCAAGTACAGTCCTTCATACCAAGGTATATAGTTCGACAGAAGTTCATCTTATACTGTGTCAAGAGTCATAATATCAACGACGGAGTTTCAGTGAGATCAGCTAGATCAACTTGTTCGCATGAACAATATGACAACTGGATGTATCCATGGATCAAATTCCACTACGGCATCCCACTCTTTCCATTCCAACCTCGTTGTCGTCCATATGTCGGACGTCTCGTACTATGTAAAAGTGCTCCCCGCTTAGTTTAGAGGTGGATCGAAGAACCACACTTCCTCACGTTCCACGACCATCTCATCTCTCTCCACATGTTCGTGATATTTCTCGCATACCTTACCCCTCAATGCGACCAAGTACTCTCTCACATTTGAATTCCTTCCAATTGTCTCAGCGACGTCTTTGTTTCTACCACCTTCCATCCTGAAGCCCTTCGCAAGGTTGACCTTCCACTCCGCCATGTCCTCCGTCTCGCCGCAGTTCAGCATGATGTCTTGCATCATGGTCCTCAAAGCAGAGTCCCTCAGGTGCTCCTCGATGTACTTCATGATGTCGTATGGCAGTGGCTGGGCGTCGCGCAAAAGCTTGTTGAAGAACACGTCCACAATCTTGTTGCGCAGGAGCGGGATATCGAAGGTGTCGGCAGATACGTGGAGTTCGCATAAGAAGAGGTATCTCACATTAATGTCATCGCTGGAGCCTAGGCTGCCGCTGTAAAGCCAGTTGGCGAAGGCGTCGAATCGCTTTGGCGCAGAGCACGCGAGGTGGATCGCTGTGCGCTCCTCGTTTGAGAATGCTGGAAGGGCCTCGTGGAAGTGTCGCGAGCGCGCTCTGAGTGCTTCAACATGTAGGTCATACTGCTGGATATTGCCGCCGGCGCCAACTTTGATCGTGACTGTGTCGTGCTTGTTGGTGATGGTAGGCGCGGTCCATGGGTGTACGCACCGTGGTAGTGGGTGGCTCATTGTAACAGTGTTGGAGTTGCTTTCGTTAACGAAAGAGTAGATAATTTTGATAAAAGTCTGACAAGATGCAAAGCCTGTTTGCTTACTTCTTTGTAGGTAGCCTACTCCACTTGCCGAGAAGCCGAAGCGAAGGTGAAGGTGAAGACGGTTCGCGCCATCGCGATTACTTCCAACAGCAGGCAACAGGACCGCTGGTCAGCTATACAAGCTTTCAACTGTGATGAGGAGACCAACGAAACAAGGGTCGATATGTGTACTGAAATTTGAATTGTCACCATATTATTGTTGTCTCGGAACAGACTCAGAAAGCTCAATGTCGCAAGGAAACCATGCATCGCGTCAGGATGAACCCGATGACCTCGTATAGCACTTAGAATGATCTTGGGCTGTATCTTTAGTATGTACGGGGACTATCGCAACCAGTGCTTCGACGATCTGATCAGAGACGATGTGCGAGGAGTAGAGCCACGGCACGTAAACTGATTCCGGAAAAGGACACCTCATTCTCATTTGTAAGAGCCACATGAGATTGGTTTACAACGTATCCATCATATACCTCTATGATCTGAGCGACAAGCCGACACTGTTCCGATCCTACACTTTAAGTCTAACTTTTCAATGGACCGACCACTGCTACTGCCACTGGAAAGCCATGCAAAACAGACAGACTCACGACTTCCCTTTTTCTCGAGAACCCTCCATCTCTTCGTGTATATGGTATTCTTTGCAGAAATTCTTGCGCATACCCGTGCACCAAGTGACCTCCTCGATATCTGACAAACCTGGCACAAATTTCCGCTCCCGACATGCAAGGATGACATCAAGGAGGAACTCCTTCGCGCAATCTTCAAATCCACCCTGTTTCAAGCCATCAAACGAGAAGGTCGCGGCCGCTGAATATACTAGGAACTTTCTCATAGCGTCCTGCTCACATGTGTTGGTATACAGGCTCTCTGTAACACCAGTTGACATGATGTTGCTTGTTTCGGTGAAGAGGTACAGAGAATCGAAGACAGCGTTCTTGAAGACTTGCGCTTGATGAAAGTCGGCGAATATGTAGGCATCAATAGCGTTCTTCCAAATTCGGCTTGCTGGGGTCGATGCGTCACCGTTGGTGAAGTCCACAATTCCGGAGTTGAGCCAATAGTAGAAGACGTGGAAGGTTTCGGCGTCGACATCCCTGAGACGAAGATGGGTCGAGCCGCCTTCCCGGAACGATCCATTCAGCATGCGATCGAAATAGCTTGAGAAGTGACACAGTAGTCCCCGATAGATCTCGAACTTTTTCTTGGCGTCATCGGGTCCGACTGCGACGGTAATGATGGTGTCGTAGACGTGGCTGTGACTATTAGTAAGGGCTCATAGCTTTGTCTGTTTCGGACTCACGCTGGTGGTTTTGCGGGTGGGTAAGCACAGGGGATCGGCTCCGGGATTTGCGCGACGTCGTCAGTGGACGGTGCTGGTGTCGCCATCACGTGAGATGGAGTCGCAGACAAGTTACTTTGTTGACGCGGTTGGCAAAGGAGAGGGAATTCGAAGGTACCACTAATTGTCTTGGCGGACGCTCGGTGAGAGTGGAAGTGAAGGTGAAAGTAAGAGTAAAAACATCAATCGACAAATCGACTCTGAAAACATGCGAAGATACCAGCAGACTTCTCTACCTAGATACTGCCAGTCGATTGACAATGCCACGGGGTATGGTAGCATTTGCAGAGCTTGTGTATTCTCCCTACTACCTTCTCTTCGAGCATACCAGGATACTATCTCGAAGTAACGTGCTACATGCCATCTTTAGCGGCCCATAACTATGACATGCACATACAAGCAGACACAACAGCGAGACTAAACACGGTGCGATCACAATGACATACAATTGAGCATAACAGGGGGTTGAATCCGAATCGACTTTCTATTACAAGAACGAGTTGGCCAGGTTCTCGAAGTATTTCCTGGCGCCGTCCAGGTCAACGTTCACGGTGGCCTTTGTTCGCTCTCTCTCAGTGAGGGTCTTTCCCAAGGAGGCTTGCAGAGCTTCTATAGTGGACTCCTCGTTTGGCTGGTTCACGATCTGAAGATTCATGCTACCACTCTCAACCTCTTTGCCGCCAACCACAATGATGTGATTGTACTTCTTTGTTCTTGCCTCGGCGATCTTCTTTCCGAGCGAGCGGTCGCTTGTATCGACATCGATAGGCAGGTGTATAGTCGATAACGGTAAGGGCCTGGGTGACGATGCGGACGTGGCTGGTGCGTCGGAGGGTGTGAGACCGGAAAGGACAGACTGAATGCGCGAGACATGTTCGAGGACTTTTGGGTCTGAGTTTAGCGACAAGACGATGGCTGGCCGAGGCGAAAGCCAGAACGGGTATTTGCCGGCGTAGTGTTCGATCAGTAAAGCCATGAAGCGTTCGATGGAACCGTAGATGGCGCGATGTACAATGACTGGGCGGCGAAGAGCCGGATCCAGACCTGCATCCATAGACGACTGCGGTCCTGCCTCCAATTCTTCCGGTGATGCTTGGTATTGCAGATCGAAGCGCTGTGGCAGCTGGAAGTCGAGCTGTATGGTTGCCGTCTGATGCTCCTTGCCGTTCGAGTCTTTCAAGATGATGTCAATCTTTGGGCCATAGAACGCTCCGTCTCCCTCGTTGATTGCCCATTCACTCCCGATGTTGTTTAACGCAGTAGTCAACTGCTCTTCTGCACGATCCCACTCCTCGATGGTGCCGATAAAGCTGTCTTTGGGCCGAGTAGAGAGAAGCAGCTTGTAGGGTCCCAGTCCAAACGTGTTGTATACCATGCCCACAAACTGGAGCGTCTGCTCAATCTCTGCTAGAATTTGGTCTGGTCGACAGAAGATGTGCGCGTCGTCCTGATGGAACCGCCTGACTCTGGTCAGTCCTGTCAAGGCGCCTGAGATCTCGTTCCGGTGCAGAGCGCTGAAATCGGCGAGTCTGACTGGGAGATCCCTGTAACTCTTGATCTCGTCCCTGAACAGCAAACAGTGGCCGGGGCAGTTCATGGGCTTCAGACCGAACTCGCCGTCCTCTCCGCCTTCTGCTTCAGGTATCTGCGCTGTTGTCCCTCTTCCCTGCACACTGAACATGTCCTCTGCATAGTTCTCCCAGTGCCCGGACTTCTCCCATAGCGACTTCTTGTATATCATGGGCGTGATGACCTCTTGAAAGCCGAATTGCGGATATTGCGCTCGCAGGAAAGACTGCAACTTCTGGAAGACATAGGCACCGTTGGGAAGGATAAGCGGCGAGCCGGGGCTATATGGAGATGTGATGAAGAGATTGTGTGTTTGCGCGAGGGCTCGATGGTCGAGAGGAGGTGTAGGCGGGGTACCGGCTGTAGGGTTCAATTGCGCACTGGCGGGTGCTTCAGACGAGACGGTCACCGTGTGCTGCAACTGGTGGGGCGCAGAACAAGAGCAGCTGCGCGCGAAAAGACGTCCATGTTGGCGCCACCTCGTTGGTTCTAATTGCGCCCGTCTTGCAGTCCGTAGCGCGAGGGAAAGCTGGCGTAGTGGCATCGGAAAGTCTTGACTCCTGCACCAACTTCGCGTGGTGTTCAGGATGCACTTTCTGGACTAGTCGTCTTGGCACACGCGAGCTCGAACATGACGTCGACGCGTCTGTACGCCAACACCACTTAAACCCCAAACGCGGTCAGGTACTACAGGTACGGTGCTAGGGCCATCGCTCTGGAACTCCACTAACAACAAAAGTGCTTGATGTCTCTGCGACGCACTAAGACACAGTATGCGCCAGAAGCCTGATTGGCAGGCCCCACGTCACACGTAGGAAGTGGCAACCGGTTCTACCCAGCCTCCTACAACGACACAAAGGCAGTCAGTGAGACAGTTTGGGTCATCACTAGACACACCACTGCCTAAATCTATAACTACCCCCTGCTCTGTATTGCATTCTTACCTTGACCCACTCAACCGTCAGCCCTACGTCACAGATCCTAGATACCATCGACTTGGAATATGAGCGCACGTTCACGGCGACTCGAACACAGCTTGGGAAGTAGCTGGGCCGACGCTGACTACGCATCCGGTGACGAAGGCTCCATTCACTCGGCCAGCGACGAAGCCAGCGAATTGGAACTAGAGGACTCTGACAAAGAAACTGTACAAGAACCACGGAGGACCGTGACACCCAGACCTAAGCGCAATCATCTCAGCAAGTCAACACCTACGGCGCAAACGCAGGCTCGGCCCGTGAGAAAGCCAGCAAGTCGGACCAAAGCCAGCCAGTCGCAAAGGATAGGACCCGACAGAACACCGAAACAAGACGCATCCGAGCCGAGCTTCATCATGCCTTCCATGAGTAACTCGCCAAGTGGTTACGGCGGCTCGCCAGGTCCAAAATCCCAGCCGCGGAACCGAGTAAGAAACACGACCCAAAACCGCCCATCAGACTCGCCCCTTGCACTAGGCAGCTCTTTCACGAAAGGGCCTGCCAGCGGATATCCGCAAGCGCCACAACAAAACCAGGAAGAAGTGAGCCCATGGCACTACGTGAACCTCTTCTGGGATAACGTCGCCGCACCACTCCTCGCCCACTTCCTAGACATCTTCTCCTACGCGATGCGACACTTTATCAAGCCGTTCTTAGGGGTCGCCCTCGGCGTTGGCATCCTAGTCTTCGGCATCCAGCTAGCATCCGGGATACTACGATCCACAGTATCGAACGCTGTAATGGGGCCTGTTTGCGCGATACCAGGCTCTTCCTACCTCATCCCCGCATGCGCTACGCTAGACACGTCAGAACCTCAGGCCGACTTTGAGGAACTCATCAATGTTCAAAGTCGATTCGAGGATATCCTGGACGCATCGAAAGATACTTCTGCTCTGCCCGCCACGATCAAGAACTCCGAGCTTGCTATTCGCGACTTGCGTATTCTTGTCAAGCACTCTCGTCTTCCGAGCCGCAAGGCCTTGGACAATGAATTCGAGTACTTTGTACAAACAGCCAACGAGGCTTCCGTCGATCTGTCTCGTTACAACAGTCGGATAGGGGCAGCTATAGACCGTGTAATTGCGACAAACACTTGGACGATGAACGTGTTGTCTGGTATCTCGGAGAAAGAGGCTTCCATTGGCGCCGTTGGCCGAGTTATCAACCAGGTCACGGGTGCGTTCGTCGCGCCACCGCCAACGCTCCAACAACGCATCTTCGACCAGTACGTATCACACGTCAGCAAGAACAAAGACGAGATTACGCGTCTTATCGAAACAGCTCAAGCTCTGCTTCTTGTTTTGCACAACCTTGATGAGCGACTAGGCACCATCTACGAAATTGCAACAGGCGATGACCAGACGATAACAGGCAGACAAGAGGAGCTTCTTTCAAGCCTTTGGACGAAGCTCGGCGGTAACCGCGGGGATGTAAAAGCCAACACCAAGTCACTTAATCTACTTGCCAACATCGGAGCCTATCGCAAGAGAGCGGTCAATCATGTATCTGGCACACTTCTGAAGCTGCAAGAGATCCAGGCCGAGTTAGAGAACTTGCGTGAGGGAGTTGCGGCGCCAGAGATGTTGGGGTACAGAAGTGATCTACCTTTGGAGTACCATATCGATGCTATCGGGAAGGGTGTGGATAGGCTGCAGGTCAGTCGTGGAGAGCACATGAGGGTTGAGGGGGACACGTATAAGAGGCTTATGCGTGGCGGCGAAGAAGGTGAGGGTAGAAGGGAGCTGCCTGGACCGACAGTCACCGTGAGGGCGAAGTAGTAAGATCGTCTCTACACAGGCAGCTTTGGAGAAACCTGGCTTAGTACTTGGATATTTTTTGACGGCGTTCACAAGATTGTCTTTACTTTCCTTTTGGTTTTATATTTCTACTTGGTACATCCCTAGATACCCATCTCATTCATAACTCATGACCGCAATGAACCACCATGTTTACAAAATTCAATACATCTGCACCTCAACCAAACATCTCCTCACACCTCCATCGCTCCCATCGCCTAGGCCTTCAAATTCCATTTCGTAGGCCACACATCCTCTCTGTGCACAAGCTTCTCTAAATCCATCCACACTACCTCCAACACCAAAGTACACTCTCTTCGCCGCTACCATTGTCTTACCCGTCTTCACCCGTCCCATCAGCGCGACAATCGCATCGGTAAACGCCGTGAGCGAAGCCGGCGAGTAGATAGTTTCCGAACCCAAGATGAACGTGTTCAAATCCGAAGACGAAGGAACCATCTCCAGGAGCTTCTCAACCGGCGTCCAAGACCCCGAGATGAATGTCATCGTGATCCCAGTTTCACTCATCGCTTTCTTGAAAGCTGCTAGGATCTCAGGAGTAAGATATACCTCGCTATTCTCCGCCGGTTCCAAGAGCGGATTCCCCGCCTCAGGGAACAGCGCTGCACTCTCCTCAGCGTTTAGCGTACCCACCCATGTCAGAACTAGATTGGGTAGAGTCACAAGCCGTAGAACGTCGGCGTT